CTCATTAGATCTGTATTACAAAAAAATCTAATTATTACTGTATCTTGACTCTCACCAATGAAATTTTGCAGACATTTTTGTTTGGTTATGCAAATTAGTAAACCAACTGCTCCAATTCATGGCAACTTCATGTGTGTCAGAGTGGAAATCACTCCAGGTGGCTCTCAGTGGCTAATGTTTTGGAGGTGGATTGCCAGGCCTTTCTTCTGAGGTGCTTCTGGATGGACTTGAACCTCTAACCTTTGAGTTAGCAGAGAATGCAATTAATGGTTTGTCTGTGCTACACAGGGACTCCTTTGTTACGTAAACACCTACACAATATCCATGATCTTGCTTCTTGGCCAATAGGGCTTAAAATACTGAGCCCATGGACTGCAAGAAGAATGAACACATCTGTCTTGGAAAAAATACAGTCAGAATGCTCCTTAGAAGTAAGGATGGCCAGACAACTTCTTGCATACTTTGGTCATGTTATCAGAAGAGGGAATCCCTGGAAAAGGACATCAAGCTTGTTAAAGTACAGGGTCAGTGAAAAAGAGGAAAACCCTCAAGGAGATGGACTGATACAGTAGCTGCAACAATGGGCTCAAGCACAGCACTGACTGTGAGGAGCTCAGGATTGAGCAGAGCAGTGTTTCATTCTGTTATACACAGGATCTCCATGAGTCAGAACCAACTTCACGGCCTAGCAACAACTAGCCCTTATTAAAAAATTTGCTGAGTCCTGGCCTAGAGCAGTACCTGGTTTGATGAAAAAAAATTTTAAACAATAAAGGAGTATCTAAAATTAAAATTAAAAAAAAAAAATTAAGATAGAGCTCAACCAAAAGAACATAAATAAATCTGCCATAAAGTCTTTTCGGTTAGAAAAAAATTTCATTCTCCTTGCAATTTCCATTTAGCTACACTTATTATGGTGGTGGTGGTGGTTGTTATGTGCCGTCAAGGCAGCCCCGACTCATAGCGACCCCTCCTTGGGTTTCCGAGAGGCAGTATCACTACAGAAGTAGGATTGCCCAACCTTCCTTCTAAGGAGTGGCTGGTGGGTTTGCACTGCCAGCCTTCTGGTTAGCAGTCAAGTGTCTTAGGCACTATGCTACCAGAGAGAACTGTCTATTCCAGAAGGAAGGGATCAGTACTCTATTTCTCATACATAATGCCCAGCACCTTCTTTTACTTATCACATATACTCAATATAAACTGAATGACAGGCAGACATTGCTGGTTAAAGTCTGTTTGCCATTAAGAGGTTCTAAATGTTTCTGACTACTTCATAAATAACCAAAAATCTGTCCCCAGTTGCTTCTCCTTTCTACAGACCAGACATCATTCTAAGCTTCCTTCAAGTGTTGTATCATTTTCCAACCCCCCTTTGTCTTTGCTTCATCACTTTTTGACAGAATCTAACCAGCTCACTGTACCTCAGTTTAATAAAATGAACCTAAAGATTTGTATCACAAGGTGAAATAAACCCAGAGAGTTATCTCCTTCTGATTCTCCCCTATGATAATCCTTAAATTTCAGTCAACATCAAGCATTGGTCTAGTTTTCAGTTACAAAATCAAATGAATTTAAGGATGCTCTTACGGTCTCATGCCTTCAGTATAAATGAGTGCTTTACACTTTTGCTCACACCACAGCACAAACAAAACCAAATACACTGCCGTCGAGTCGGATCCAACTTCTTGGACCCTTTCTTGGGTTTCCGAGGTAGTATCACTACAGAAGTAGATTGCCCAACCTTCTTTCAGAGGAGTGTCTGGTGGGTTGAACCGCCAGCCTTCTGGTTAGCAGTCAAATGCCATAGACACTATGCTACCAGAGCTCCAGCACAAACAAAAAGCACTATTTCTCTAAGACACTTTTGGGAGTAATCAACACAGAAAGCACTATTTGTATGACATTCTTGGTAGTAACCAGAAAGTTACTCATGGCCAGGAATGACTAGCCCAGGGGATCTGACTGACTCAAGGGTTCAACAGATATCTTGTAAATCAGTTAGGAAGCTCTATGGAGCAATGAGAATAGATTGATCACATATTCTCCCCCATATCAAGAAGTTCTAGTGGTACAATGCTTAAAGCATTTGACTACTAACCAAAAGGCTGGCAGTTCAAACCCACCAGCCACTCCATGGGAGAAAGATGAGGCAGGCTTACATTTACAAAAATTTTTACAACCTTGGAAACCCTAATGAGGCAGTTCTACTCTGTCCTACAAGGTCACTATGAGTCAAAATTGACTCAACAGCATGGGTTTGGTCTGGTTTTCCCCATCTCTAGCACCACACATGGTAACAGAAGACTAACCCACATACACACCTCACACTCAACTCACTGCCCTCGTGTCGACTGTGACTCAAAGTGATCTCTTCCCCCAAGGCTATAATCTTTATGGAAGTAAAACATATCATCCTTTCACAGAGCAGCTGTTGGATTCAAACCAGCGACCTTTTGGTTAGCAACCAACTACCTTAACCACTATGCAACCGAGCTTCTTACATACGTACTATGGGTCCTCTATTTCCCGTTGAATATTCCAACATTGTTAGCCATTTTTTTATTATCTTGTTTTCCAAGCTTAGATATGGATTTTTAAACGTGTCCCACATTTTAACTGTGCCTATCAACTGCTTTTTTCATTTGATTTAACTAAGCCTCTAATCTCATTTTTCTGAGGTAGACTGTCTATGATCAAAACATGGCAATGGCTTGAAAAAATTCAATATGCTTCACTACATCACAATATGGTAGAAATAAGATAAACACAGGAAGGCATTCATTCATCTTCACCCTAGGAACTCCTTCATAACTCAGCATTGTATGTTCACTCATACAGGCATTGCGGTGTAGTAAATTACTTAGTGTGGCTTTTCTACCCATAAGTCTTTGTAAACTCCAAGGTGGGAATTGCTATTAGCAACTGAGGAGATCCTGATTTTAAAGTCGCCCACCTGGAATACTTCTGTTGGGCGTGGCACAATACAATGTTCTGGGAGGTTCCCACTCTCTCTCACGTGTTTAGAGTTCTGATGCTGTGATTGGCTAGTTTGACCACCCTTCCGGGCTCAAAAGGAGGCCTCCTAGAGGCAGAACTCTCTCTCTCTGACTGCTGGTGGAGGAAGACGTGCTGCCGAAAGAGACACGCACCCCGAAAGAGACACGTGCTGCTGGGAAAGAGCCGCAAGAGACACGCATCACTGAGTGAGACACCGAGGGACCAGCACTGCTGGAAAAGAGACTGTGAGAGACTGTTGGCTGAGGGATGATGGGCTGGGAGAGAGACTGAGCATTCTTCCTGGACTTGAGTTGTAGCCTGGTGCTTCCCTAATAAATCCCATAATCTGTGAGTTCTGTGTGGCCACTGCAGTGAATTATCGAACCCAGGAGAGAGGTGGTGGGTGCCTTGGGGGAACGGTTGGTGAAAGGGCTGGAGGGAGGCAGCATGTCTGGCCTTGCAGTAATAGGCCTTGGGTTACTGCTGGTAATCCTGCCTTCCCCTTGTAGGGTTAGAGGAGGTCAGAACATGAGGCCTCCTTGTCGTTTTTGCAGGCATGTAAGTGAACAAGTAAGATATATGGCAAATGAACAAATAAGAAAGGATCAATATCTTTTTGCTGAAAAGGGTTAAAGAGGCAAAACTATCAGTGACAACTAACACATGTTGTCCCTCTTCCCCTTAATATGATTTTATATGATTGTTAATTGATTTATTCTTTCTCTGCCACAGTCAAATAACAGCCACAAAGTATACAAAATCCCACCTTCCATCAAGTTGATTCTGACACACATCAACCCTACAGGACAGAGAAGAAATGCCCCATAGGGTTTCCGAGGCTGAAATTTCTATAGACGCAGACTGCCACATCTTTCTCCTATGGAGCGGATGGTGGGTTCAAACTAATGACCTTTTGGTTAGCAGCCAAGCGCTTAACCACTGGGCCACCAGGGCTTCCTACAAGGTCTATGGTGGCCCTGAATTGGCATTAAATAATTAAAATACAAAATAAATAAAATACAAAAGTATAAGGAAAGAAAAATAAGACATATGACAAGAGAGAAAAAGCAACAAAGCATTATCTAAAACAAAAAAAGTCATGTGTGTCAAATTTCATAGCACTAGTAGGTAAATAAGGCACTCTGGTGGTGCAATGGTTAGAACATTTGGCAGAGAATTAAAAGGCCAGTGGTTTGAACCCACCAGCCACTCTGTGGGGGAAAGATAAGGCAGTCTGCTTTCATAAAGATTTGTAGCGTTGGAAGCCCTATGGGGCAGCTCTACTCTGTCCTATAGGGTCCCTATGAGTCAGAATCAACTCAGTGGCCATAGGTTGGTTGTTAAATACAAATATAAAAAGTTTAAAAATTAAAAAAAAAAAAAATCACAATACAGTTTGCCCAATACAATTCTACTTGGCAGTTATCTACTCTTAGAATGTTTTGTGTGATTCATAAATAAATAAATTCATTAACTATGTATTAAAGAGATGGGTTTTCAGCATTTTGATTTTCTAAATTAGATGCGCACCTAGATGTGATGGTGCAATTTCACTTGTATGTCTTCACTTTTAGGAGGTAAATATTTTTACAACTTACCTTCCAAAGTGTCAGAGAAAAAAGTGGACAGTATATGTGTGTGTGTGTGTGTGTGTATATACACATACACATACACTTTTATATAGACACACGCACATACACCTACGTAAGGGGAAAGGAAAGAAAATTGGGAAGAATATTCATTGGTCAATCTACAAAAAGGATATATAGATGTACATTTCATGATTTTTATAAGTTTAGAAATTTTCAAAATAAAGAGTTGGGAATGAAAGAGCTACTCAGAAGATCATTTATCTATTCCTTGAAGAATCTACCCACCCAAAAAAGTCAAGGAGTCAAGGACATATTTGACATTTATAGTTCAAACATCTCAGATACAACATCCATTATGGAAAATTCCTCAGAGGTAAATACTTCACTTCAAAGAAAATTTCTGACACTTACGTTGCCCATATACTCAGAGAGCAGGTCCTGCAGGGCCTGGCGGACTGCGTTGCACTCTGCCACAATTCGCTCACGCCGATCATCACGCGTGCAAGATGAGTCAGCCATCAGGGCAGCTCCACTAATGATGCTTTCCAGACGTTCCTCAAGGGAAGGCCTGAAGCGCTCTTCACTGAAGCTCAAGGGGTCCACGATGATTTGCTTCTGCAGAGGAAGCATTACTAAATGTCAGTGCTAATTGCTGCTCCCTACATTATTCAACAAAGTGAACAAAGAGTTGATACCAAGACTAAACACAAAAATACCAACACACGAAAGAAAGTTATTCATCTTCGCAGATGAGAACCCATCCCACATAAGTTGATCTCTGGTAGAAGGTATTGGAAGCAATACTTTCCACTACAACAGTAACTGGATGAAATATGATACCAAAAAATGGAAATACAAATAAATCACACAAAAATCATGTTCAAACTATTTACTGTATTTTTACACAAGAACATGTGCATTACATGGGTTTTTTGTAAAGTATGCACCCTTATCATGCGTTAGTTTCCTATGAACGTTATACATACATGTACATTGTTTATGTGGGCACGTTATATGCAAAAAATACAGAAATGTGAAAATAGCACAATGCCTAAGGCACCTGATTGCTAACCGAAGGCTGGTGGTTCAAACCTACCAGCCACTCTACAGAAGCAAGACTGGGTGATATAGTCCATAAGCACTTATTGCCTCAGAAACCCAATGGGGGTGACTATGAGTCAAAATCAACTCAATGACAGTAACTTTAATGTGAAAATCTACAGATCAGCCTGTGTACTATTAGTAACTCCAGTTCTCAAATGAGAATTACAAGAAAAATAAGTTATCTTTTTATTTTGATGTGTATAGTATATGACTGCTACACTGCATTAGCTGAAATGTTGCATCAAGAATAAAAATTAAAACTTTGGCCACTCACCTCCAAGTTTCAGAAAGGAATGCATTTATAAGGAAGTTAAATCTACTCTCCTCCTTACCTCACACATGTAAACAATTTTTATAAATAATTCTTGGTCTCCAATTAATCCTGTTATGTATAACAGGTTTTCTTTCCTCGAAAAACTGCACATATTCTGTAAAAGATAGTATCAATCCTCCCTAACAAAGCCACTCTGAGAGGCTAATCTGCCCGAAAATGAATAAATCCTTCCTCTGTCTTCCCTTCCCTTCTTTCTCTTCCCTGATTCCGTTAAATACAGCTTTACCAGTGACTAGTGAGGTGTGGTCACAAGCAAGCTATAGGTACAAGGTCAAACATCAACGTTCCCAGGACAACTTTATGGTCTCCTTCCAACGTCTTCACGTGACATATCCTCATACCAATAACCGTCTATGTAACTATTCTGCGTTAAATTTTTCTTCATAGAGACTATGTTCCCATTAATTTCAACTTAAATGCCAAATTTTTTTCTGCCAAAAGCTTGTTTTTTTTTACAGTAAGTATACGTTTCTTCCTTCCTTTCCAAAGAAACTTCAGTTTTAAAACTGAATGTGCAAGAGCCTAAGTTCACTATCAGGCTACATTTCAGTTGGTCATTTTTCTTAACAAAACCAAAAAACCAAACTCACTGGCATCAAGTCAGATTTGACTCATAGAGAACCTTCCTTGCGTTTCAAGGCAGTATCACCACAGAAGTAGCTTGCCCAATCTTCCTTCCGAGGAGCAGCTGGTAGGTTTGAACCACCTGCCTTCTGGTTATCAGTCATATGCCTTAGGCACTACGCCACCAGAGCTCCAGATTAGGTTATTATAGGATTTATCTGGTCAAAACCTCATACTAGATGCTTGGGGCTAAGAAGAATAAGGAGTAAATGGTCAAAGAATTTTAAGAGTCTTAGAGAATGGACCTGAGATCACTTAACCCAATCCCCTCATTTTTTGAATGAAGAAACTGTCGCCCTAGGAAGTTAAGTGGCTTCAGATACAGATTACTCAGTTGAGGACAAAATGCTATATTTGCTAATCTTGAAAGAGGCAAGTGCTTAATAATGCCAAATTTGAGTAGTGAAAAGCAACAGTGCTAGTAAATTCTAAGACAAGTCACAATGTTTGCTATAAAGACATTTCATGTTTATGGCTCCAGGGCAAAAATTCAGTTCTAATACTATGGTCTTTAAACTTAACACCATCCTTATGATTCATCAAAAGTCTTAAACCAGCCATGCATATCAGCAAGGATCAGTTACCCAAGACAAAGACAAGAGGTGAGATGAAGATAAAAAAGAAAAAGGAAAGGCAAGGAAAAAGTGTTAAAAGCAAAATGCAATCCACTATATTGATTCTATACCTCAAAGCATCCTCCTAAGAAAGGATGCTGTTCACCTGGAAGACAATTTTCTTCTACATTAGTTAAAAAGAAAGAAACAATGAACCAAAAACTATCCAATATTTGGTAAATATATAATCTTCTTAAAAAATTTTAAGCTGCTGTTGTCTCCTGAAAGCCATAAGACATTGTGGTTAAGAATTAAAAACAAAAAACACGTCAAAAAATTAAGATTAGAGTTATACACACAGGAAAGTGATCTGGCTTATCTATTAATAATAAAAGGTAATTATGTGGCATTATACTGAGAAAGTATTTTAATCCGAAATTTGCTCCCACTTGATTAAATTCTTACCCACTGTTCGAATTCAGTCATTGAGAAGGTAAGTATAGATTTCCCACTATGTGAAAGTACCACTCTTATGAAACACTTCTTAAGCCAAAAAGGTGTAAAGCAAAGCAGCAATTGCCACTAATTTATATGGTAAACATTTTTAAGTGTTCCCAGATCCAAAAAACAACCTACCAAACTACACCAAATTACACATAAAACCTAAAATTAACGGATAGTGTTCACAGACACAGTTCAAAGATATGGCAGCTTAATGCTGATATGCTGAGTATAGTTCCCACAGAAGGAACGTGGTAATGCCACTATTACTGTTCAGGCTGCATACTGTCTCTTTAATGGCTCTTTGCAAAACAAACTTTGAATGCTGGTTTTGCTTATTGCATTTTCTCATATAAGCAAAACTCCTCTTCAGATTTCTTTCAGTTAGCAAAAACAGGTACTAATGTAGATCTTTTGCAAAAGCAAAGTGGTATAGGGACTTCTAGTAAGATGACAGAAGAGGCAGACAAACTATACAGACCCTCCTCAAGAAAGAAAAGAGACCCAGCCATCCCATTACTAGGTATATACCCTAAAGAAGTGAGAGCCATAACAAGAACAGATATATGCACGCCGATGTTCATCGCAGCACTACTCACAATAGCCAAAACATGAAAACAACCTAGATGTCCATAAACTGAGGAATGGATAACCAAACTATGGTACATACACACAATGGAATACTATGCAATGCTAAAGAATAATGTAGAATCTGCAAAACACCGCATAACGT